ATGATCTTAGAGGTCTTTTTCGACCTTAATTGATTGATTGATTGATTCCATGATTCTATTTAGCTAGCAGAAAAATACAAGGAAAACATGACAGTCCTTAGGAGCGGAGGGCCTTTTTTTATTGAGGTTGCGTCATACAAGGGGGAGGGAAGGATGCGCAGGGGAAGACAGATTCCGACAGTATCTTTGGGGCACTGATGGGCAGCCAGCCTGGAAAACGTTAAAGGATTTAAGGAAGGGCTTTAAAGACGGACGGTGGGATGACGGACAGCAGACTGGGGAGTGATGGGAATGAGGGGATCGTGGACCAACGCATCAAGCCCTTTGAGTAAACTCAATAATAAGAGGAAATAATTAGCAAAAAAAAAAAAAAGTATATTATTTACTCATCAGCCTACTTTAGATCATTTGCATGGGGCGGGGTGGGGGGTTTCCCCACTTTTGCAGTCTTTAAAACTGAAGAATTTTACCTAGGAGAAGCGCTGATTTTTTTTTCTCTTTCAGGTACGACGTCTCGACTCTTCCCAAAACTCCTTCCCTGCTCCGAGCACTTACGAAGCCGGTTCTCCCCCGTGTTATCTCTGGTGTTCGATGGGGTTTGACCCCTCCTTGAAACCCTCCGCGCACTGGGGGCACTGGAGAGAGTCCTTCCCCACCGCCACGCCAAAACGTGAGTTGGGCTGGAAGCTCCTCCCGCATTTCTGGCACTTGCAGAGCCCTTTGTGCACCCTCTGATGGACGATGAGGTTGGATCTCTTCCCACAGACCGGGCAGGGGTAGGGCTTCTCCCCGGTGTGGGTCCGCTGGTGGGCGATGAGGTCCGAGCTCTGCCCGAAGCTCTTCTCGCACTCAGGGCACTTGTAGGGCTTCTCCCCCGCGTGCAGCCGCTGATGCCGCACGAGGCTGGACCTGTTGCTGAAGAACTTTCTGCACTGGGAGCACTGGTAGGGCTTCTCGCCCGTATGGAAACGCTGATGGGCGATAAGGTCCCCGCTCTGGCCGAAGCTTTTTCCGCACTCGCTGCACGCGTACGGCTTGATCCCCGTGTGCAGCCTCTCGTGCCTGAAGAGGGTTGACCTCCCCCTGAAGAACTTCTCGCACTCGGAGCAGTGGTAGGGTTTCTCCCCGGTGTGGGTCCGCTGGTGGACGATAAGCTCCGAGCTTTGCCCGAATCGCTTCCCGCATTCTTCGCACTTATACGGCTTCTCCCCCGTGTGCATCCTCTGATGTCGGAAAAGATTTGACCGGTGGCTGAAGCTCTTCCCGCACTCGGGACACTGGAAGGGTTTCTCCCCCGTGTGCGTCCGCTGGTGGACGATGATGTCCGAGCTGCGGGTGAACCTCTTCCCGCACTCGTGGCATTTATAGGGTTTCTCTCCCGTGTGCACCGTCTCGTGCCTGATGAGGGTGGACCTGTCCTTGAAGCACTTCTCGCAGGTGGAGCACTGGTAGAGCTTCTCCTCCACGTGGATCCTCTGGTGAAGGTTGAGGTCCGAGCTCTGCCCAAATTCCTCCCCGCACTCGTAGCACTTGTAGCGACGTTCTCCCATGTGCCGCCGCTGATGCTGGAGGAACTTGGGTTTGTCCCTGAAGCATTTCCCACACTCGGGACACTGGTAGAGCTGTTCTCCTACGTGCACCTTCTCGTGGACAAGAAGTCTCGATTGGTGAATGAAGCTTTTCCCGCACTGCTGGCATTTAAAAGGTTTTTCTCCCACGTGGACCCTCTTGTGCCTGATGAGCAGCGACCGGTCTGGGAAACACTTCTGGCACTTGGGACACTCGTAGAGCTTTTCTCCCGTGTGACTCTTCTGGTGGACGATGAGGTTGGAGCTCTGCCTGAAGCACTTCCCGCACTCGTGGCATTTATACGGTTTCTCGCCGGTGTGGATCCGCTGATGCACGATAAGGTTGGAGCTCTGTCCGAAGCTTCTTCCGCACTCGTTGCACGTGTACTTCTTCTCCCTGGTGGCGGTTCTGTACTGGGCTTTGGATTCTTTGAGGACCTTCTGGTTTTCTCCACGAGGGATGAGTTTATCCCCTTCTGGCCCCGTCTCGCTCTCGGGAGCTGCCTCCCGCCGAGGGCTCTCCAAAACGTTTCCTTCCCGTTTCGCCGCCGCCACCCCGTGCCCTCCCCCTCGCTCGGCGCTTTCGCGCTTCGGGTTTGGCTCTTCCTTCGTTCTTCTGGCGGCACATCCTGCTGCGGGCCGCAAACGAGAGCAACGTCTTATTTCTCGAAGGGAAACCACGTCGCGGTGGGGGATGGTGAATAAAAGCACAGGCAAGAGTAGAGCTGGGCCACCTCTTCGCCCTCAACCCCAATCGCTTGAGGGAGGGTGAAAGGGGG